AATAGTACAGTCTTTCATTCTGAAGCAAACGACAAAATCACATTGCAATCCCCATTCCTGGCACATTAAATCACTCCAGGCTTGTAAAAAACCTGACTCCCTGGAAGGCAGAGGTACAAAACGCCCCTGATCAATAGGCAGACGTCCCAACAGTAAGGAGGGAGAGGCTACTGGCTTCATAGTCAGCTTGTGTCTCTACAGCATCTCTGTCCGTTCACGCACTCAAACTCACAGATAACAACTTGTCACATCTCAGAATTTGTTTTCCTAGCTTCCAAGGCCATGTTGAAATGTTTCCAAACTTCTCTCTTAAGAGACTAAGTTATCAACCATGTCAGTGAAAAGACGGGAAAAGCAAGATCTGGACACACGGAGTCCCTGACCCACAGAAGGTCCTGTTCAAAAGGCTTCGATATGAACGGATTCCAGGGAACCTGAGATGCAGTTTTCCCACAGGAATCCCATCACCTGCTTGACCAGTTGGTCAAGATAACATAAACCAAGTGCGTATAGCGTGCCCAGTTCTGTGCTGAGGGCTGTGCATGTTAATGTCACGAATGTGCGCAGTGAATCTGTGCCTCGGTTCCACCGTTATCCCTGATTCACACATGACAAAACTGAAGTGAAAGATGTTCGAGTGATTTCCCCAAGGTCACAAGGACAATAGCCAGCAGCACCTGGATTTGAACTTAGGCAGCTGGACCTCAGTGTATGCTCGCAGCCACTCAGCAATACCATGGCCCTCCCAGAAATAGTGATTGGGTCAGACCTAATCCATATTCCAAAATCTTCCATGCAGAATGAGGGCTGAGTCCAATCTGAGATGTCAAGGCTTCTCCTTCAGCCACTGTCTGAGGAGGAGCAGGGAGAGGCTCCCTGATGCCCGGAGGGGTCTGGTGTTTGTCTGGGCTTCTCCTAGAACAGGAGCAAGACCTGAGATTCTGGAGGGCTCCGGTATACGTGGAACCAGAGGACATCTGTGCTACAGACCGAATGTTTGTAACCCTTCCAAGATTCATGCTGAAACCTAATCCTCAGTGTGATGGTTTTTGGAGGTGGGGCCTTTGGGGGAGGTGATAAGGCCCTAAGAGTCGAGTCCTCATGAATGGGACTGGCGCCTTCTGAGGAGAGACCCCGGAGAGATTGCTTCCTCTCTCTCTCCCCTCTGCCAAGTGAGGACACAATGAGAAGACTTTATCTACAAACCAAGAAGCAAGCCTCACCGGACACTGGGTCTGCCGGCACCTTGATCTTCGATTCCCAGCCTCCGGAATTGCCAGAAGTATTTGTTGTTGAAACCATCCAGCCTAGGTTACTTTTGTTACAGCAGCCCAAACTAAGACAGTCGGTGTCCTGTTTTCACAAACGAGCCTACACCAATTGAGGACACTGAATAAGTGTCCATACTATGAATCACATCACAGTAACTCAGGAAGCCCCAAAAGCTATTTGCATTTAGGGATTCTTTTTTTTTTTTTTTTTTTTTAATTTTTATTCAGGTTTTAGAGACAGAGACACAGCGCAAACAGGGGAGGGACAGAGAGAGAGGGAGACACAGAATCCGAAGCAGCCTCCAGGCTCTGTCAGCAGCCCGGACGCAGGGCTCGAACTCACGAACATTGAGATCATGACCTGAGCTGAAGTCGGATGCTTAACTGACTGAGCCACCCAGGCGCGCCTTTAGGGATTCTTTTAAAATTAAGTTCACATTCATCATAAAAAGGCCTTGCGTTTATCTCCCTACAGGGCAATAGTGAAACTAATCCACCCTCCAGTAAACTTAGCCAATGATTAATCAATGTCAGATAAAGTCATCATAAACTGGAGGGAGTGATGATAATTTTTTAAAAAGTAACAAGCTGTATTGCCATCTTACTCGGGAGTCAGAAGAGAAGATATGTATTGAGCAGACTGACATGAGGAGTTATTAATGACCGGCAGTTGGAGTGACCTGCCCATGGGAGCACAATGACCACTGAATAGAGCTGGGCCAAGGTGGGCGACATTTTTAATACACCCACATTCATCCCAGGCAACTCAGCAGTTCAACTACGGCATCTCCAGACACGAAAACACGGTCCTCCAAAATCCTATAAGCCTCAAGGGTTGGGGGCAACCTTGGAGACCATCGAAAAACCTAGAAGTGTCCTTGAAGCCTTGCTTTTCCTCATCCTCCACTTCCAATCCCCCCCAACAGGTCTTACCGGCCTACCTCCAAAATAGTCTGAAGCTGTGCATTGTCACCAAGGACACTGCCACCACCGTGGTTCTGGCCACCAACATCTTGTGTGCCTCCAAGTGGCTTCCCTATTTGCATCAGTCCTTCTTGAGATCACGCACAGACATAGTGAAATAATGCCACACACATGCTTAAAGTTCCAGGAGTTTCCTCTGGCATCCAGAACAACCACAACAACAAAAATCTCAATTCCTTGCCAGGTATATTAGTTTCTTGGGGCCGCCTTACCAAGTGCCATGAACTTGGTGGCTTAAAACCATACAAGTGAGTTCTCTCACAGAAGTCTGAAATTGAGGAGTCAGGAGGGCAACTCTTGCTCCAAAGGGCCCAGGGGACCAAGAGAGACTCCTTCCTTGCTTTTTTCCAGGGAGCTGACCATGGGTCCCTGGCATTCCTTCCAGCTGCATCCCCCACTTCCTGCCTCTGTCATCAGATGATGTTCTCCTTGTGTGTCTCTGCATTTTCCTCTTTAAAAAAACAAAAACTTTTTTTTACATCTATTTATTTTTGAGACAGGGCACAAGTGGGGGAAGAGCAGAGAAAGAGGGAGGCACAGAATCCGAAGCAGGCTCCAGGCTCTGAGCTGTCAGCACAGAGCCCGACATGGGGCTTGAACTTACAAACAGTGAGATCATACCGAGCAGTTGAACCTTAACCAGCCACCCACGACCCCAGCACCTCTCCTTAGGATGATACCAGTCAGTTTGGATTAGGGCCCACCCCAATGACTTCATCTCAACACGATTTCATCTGCAAAGACCCTATTTCCAAATAAGACCATGTTCACAGATACCAGGAGTTGAGGACTCAATAACCCAGGGGGGGGGGGGGTGCTGCAGAAGGACAAGGATATAATTCAACCCATAACACAAGTCCTACCGGGCCCTACCTCACACGTCCCACGCCCTCACACACTGGGCTCGCACCACACCGCCTTGTCTCGTGAGCACACACACCACACTCAACTCACCTTGCACTGGATATCGTTCTGCCTGGATCGCTCTTATCTTTGCATGACTGGTTCCTACTTATCATTCAGCTTAAATGTCATTTCCTCTAAAAGGTTCTCTCTGACCCCCCTAATTTTTTTTTAATGTTTTGTTTATTTTTGAGAGAGAGACAGACACAGAGAGATGGAGTGTGAGTGGGGGAGGGGCACAGAGAGGGGGAGACACAGAATCTGAAGCGGGCTCCAGGCCCCGAGCTGTCAGCACAGCGCCCGACGTGGAGCTCGAACCCACGATCTGCAAGATCATGACCTGAGCCGAAGTTGGTCGCTTAACCAACTGAGCCACCCTAGAGCCCTGACCCCCTAATTTAAAGTGTTTCAGGGGTGCCTGAGTGGCTCAGTCAGTTAAGCGGCCAGCTTCAGCTCAGGTCATGATTTTGTGGTTCACAAGTTCAAGCCCCTTTGTGCTGACAGCTCAGAGCCTGGAGCCTGCTTCGGGATCTGTGTCTCCCCCTCTCTCTGCCCCTCTCCCACTCGCACTCTGTCTCTCTCTCTCCTCTCTCAAAAAAATAAACATTAAAAAATAAGTAGATAGATAGATAGATAGATAAAAATAAAATGTTTTGGAGAATCACCCAGACTCAATGCTCTGCATAGCCCTCATCACTGTGATATCTCCTGATGCATTTATGTACTTGCTTATTGTCTACCTTTCTTCCCCCACCAGAGTGTCAGCTCCACGAGGGCAGGGGCCTGGTCTGTCCTATTCACTCCTGTGGCCGGGGCCTTGAACGGTACCTGGCATTGGGCTTTCAATCAATCTGTGTTGACTAAAGAAATAAGTAAATCATTTTACAGATGAGGAAACGAGGGAGCAGTGATCACACGTATATTTCTACACGGATACCCGTCGAAACCAGTAAGCAGCACACTGTCTTTGTAAAGGGCTATCGAGCACGTATTTTAGGCTCTGCAGACCATACGATCTGCATCGCTGCCACTCAAGTCTGCCGTGGCAGCACCAGAGGCAGTCAGAGATAAGATGTACATGGATGAGTGTGGCTGTGTTCCAATAAAACTCCATTTATGGCCACTGGAATTTCATATAATTTTTACATGTCACAAATATTCTTCTTTTGGTTTTGTTTTCCCCAACCATTGAAAAATGTAAAAAATATTCACAGCCTACAGGCCAGATATGGCCCACAGATATGGCTATAGTTTGCCACCCCCATTCTAAATTCATGCGTGTATATCAACAGGTAAGACGGTGTTTTTGGAACGTGCACTATGTAATATAATAGCAGCTCATGTCAAGCCCCGTGGTCAGCACTATAGCATAAGAGCGCTAGGCCTTACAAGGTATGTAATGCATTATCCCCAATTAACAAAGAAAAACTAATGCTCAGAGATATTAAGCTACTTCCTCAAGGTGACATAACTTTAGGATTGGAACTCAGGCAAGACTGACTCCATCATGTTACACTCTGACTCTGGTGCACAATCAAACGATATTAAACAGCAAGGATGATACTAACTAGCTGAAAGTAATCACTAACTACTCTGCCAAGAGCCATTAATGGCAATTTATCTAGATAAACCAGAATCTAGTTTTCACAGGAATTCTAGGACGCAAGAATTCCTTCTGTCCCCATTTTATGGATAAGGAAATTCAGGTGTGAGAGGTCACTCGGTGAGCAGGAAGCAGAGCCAGGGATGAAACCCAGGCATCAACTCCAAAGCCCTCCTCCCTCCAGTCCAAGGCTCCGAGCGCCCGGCCAGCCGACCCCAGTGTCCCGCCACCGCACTTACGGGCCACCCGCAGCCACACTCGGAACCACCGCGTCTCATTCAGGACCTCCCGGCAGGTGTAGTTTCCCTCATCCTGCAGCCTCAGTGCCTTGATGTGCAGCGAGCTGGCATTGGCCAGAGAGAAGCGCGGCTCATCCGGCCGGAAGCTGGAATTGGAGGACAGGAGGAAGACAGGCTCCGAGTCATTCCGGTACCAGGTCACGAGGCCCCTTGGTCCCGAGATGTTGCCACAGTGCAGAGTAACGTTCTCGTGAACCTCTCCGATGACCGGAGCCTCTAATCCTGTACAAGGAAAGATCAGGCCGTTACTACATTTCTTCATCTCGGAACACCCTCCCTTGTGCACAATGTCTCTGCATTAGGATTTTTAAAAAATCAGGTGTGTGTTTTTAAGAGCCTCCACTCTGGGGGGGGGGGGATTACTGGCCAGTGCTGATTTTAATGAACGTGTGGTAAATGGCAATTGCAGAGACAGCCCCAATGTCCCCCTCCCCCACTACCCAGGCCCCTCACCGCCCTTCACCGCCTGACCGCACTGCCCTCCCACCCTAACGCTTGCTCTGGCCAATAAGATGTTAGCAAATGTGATGCAAACACAGGCTTAAAAAGCACTTGTGTAATTGGGCTTGCTCACTGTCACTCCTGCCGTCACCTTGAGAAGGAGGTGCCCAGGTTAGATCCCAGGAGGAAGATGGAAGCTAGGTGTGCAGACCCCAGTGGTCCCAATCACCTGAGCTGAGGCCATTCCAGATCAGCCTTCAGCTGCTGAGTCGATGCCCCAACATGCCAGTGAGCCCAGGCAAGATCAGCAGAGCTGATTAACCCCAGCCCTTAAGCAATAAGCACTGACTGTCATTTTGTGATTATTATGCAGCACCTTTGTGGCAATAAATAACCGATACAGAACCCAAGTGGTTTTATTTGCCTAGAAATCCAGAAGGGATGAAAGGAAGAGGGCCTGGGCTTTGTTCCCACAGTCCTTTCTCCATCTGAGGTGCGAATGATCCTGGAGTCAAAGCTCTCTTGCAGCTCCGACTTTGGGCATGCCCTATGCTAGGTACTGGGGAGCCAAGGATGGGCAAAACAGGGGGAGCCAAGGATAAGCAATACAGAGGGAGACGTCTGGGATCTCCCAGGCTAGTGGGGAAAACAGACAATAAACTGGCAATTACAATACAGTGTGATAAGTACTATGACAGGGCCTCCGAGAAGAGGCTCCTAAGGTCCAGCTGGGGTGACCGCCAGGGAGGTTTCCTCCAGGAGGCCACACTGAGATCTGATGGACAGGTAGGAATTAGCCAGGTAGAGGGAACAGCAAGTTCATAAACCCAGACCAGCAGCAGCAGCCGCAGGGCGGTGGCTCTGTTAGAAATGCAAATGATCAGGTCCCACCCCAGAACATTTAAATCAGATAAATCACCCATCTGGGCGTGGCAGTGGAAGGTAGGCTGCATTTTAACAAACCCTCCAGGTGATTCTGATGCTCACTCACGACTGACAGTTGGCTAAGGGCCACTGATCTGGCACAGGCTGTCACCAGGTAACAAGAAGCAAACGCAGCCCATTTTGCTGAGAAGTGTGGAAATTTTCCAGCCCCCCCGCCCCGGCCTGCCCCCCACAGTCAACAACCAAATACAAAGAGGCCACAGGCACAGGAATAATTGGCAGACCCTGTGAGGAGTCTTTGACTCATGCTGTCACACTCAGTAGAGGAGAAAAGTGTGATGCCAAGAAGGAGAGTGGGCTAACTCCAAGTCCTGCAGTGAAAAGGCAGCAGGGTGGGACCAGAAGCTAGACTTCTTGCCATCCTCCAGCACGTTCTCTTTCCGCCACCTCAGAAGCTTCCAAAGTATGTGAATCTACGGGATTTGCGAAAGGTGGTATTTCATCACAAAATAAATTGCCTTTGACAACAGTACTGGGACAACTGAGTGAAGGTGGACCCCTTACCTCACACCATATGTGAGAAATTAACTCAACTGGACCACAGATCTAAATGGAAGAGCTAAAACTATACAGTGCTTAGGAAAAAAAATAAAAGAATAAATCTTTGTCACTTTGGGTTAAGCAATGGTTTCTCAGGACACCAAAAGCACAAGCGAGGAAAGAAAAACGGGTAAGTTGGACTTTGTCAGAATTAAACACTTCTGTGCATCCAATGACACCATCAAGAAAGTGAAAAGACAATGTACAGACTGGGAGAAAATACCTGCAAATCATTTATCTGATGAGGGGTTTGTACCCAGAACATATAAAGAACTCTCAGAATTCAACAATAAAAAGATAAATAATACAGCTTAAAAATGGGCAAAGGATCTGAACACATGTCTCCAAAAAGATCTACAAAAGGCCAGTAAGCACATGAGAAGATGCTCATCATAAGTCACTAAAGAAATGCAAATCAGAACCACAGTAAGGGACCTACCACGGTATACCTACTAGAATGGCTGGAATCAAAGAGAATAGCAAATTAACAAATACTGGAAAAGATGCAGCGACTGGAACCCTTCTGCATTGTCGGTAGGGTTCTTAAACGGTGTGGCGACTTTGGAAAACAGGTTGGCATTTCCTGACAAGGTTAAAGTAACAGGATGACTCAGCAGTGCGACTCCTGGGTGGACATCCAGGAGAAAGGAAAACGTGTCTACACAAAGACTTCACACGTACATTCACAGCAGTATTATTCATAATGGCCAAAAGATGGAAATGTCCATCTAATGCCCATCAGCTGATGAGTAGATAAATGGTATATCCATATGGTGGGAACATTATTTGGCCATAAAAAGGGATGAATGAATGGCATGGATGGATCCTGAAAACATTACAGTAAGTGAAAGAACGCAGTCATAAAAGACTACATATCGTGAGTCCGTTTATATGAAATGTCTGAAATGAGCAAGTCTACAAAGATAAAAAGTAGGGTAGCAGGTGTCTAGGGCTGAGGAAAGTGGCCTGGCGGGGGTGGGGGGAGTGGGGGGAAGAAGGAGGTAGTGAGGCGTTAACTGCTAACACTCAAGCCTGATGCTTCTTCTTAGAGTGCTGAAAACATTCTGGACTTAATTAGTGGTGATGGTTGCATAATCTTGTGAATATACTCAAAACCACTGACTGACATAGTTTAAAAGGGTGCATTTTATCGTAGGTAAGTTATATCTCAATAATGTGGCAGAAAAATAAACAAACTGCCACCTGCCTCTGACAACCCTTCCCGATTATAAAAGAAAGAGTAACAGTGATTTGTCTTTGGCCCTTTGTATGGTTAGAAGGGGCTCCCTTTGAAAGACTGGAAGCCAGCCTGGAGCCACGGGACGCTCCAACTCTCCCTCATCCTAGCTGCACCACTCCCACATGCCGGGACAGCACGGAAAAAATAAACAAAACAAAACAAAACAAACTCTAAGTCAGTCGCTGGAAGGCGGAGAATGTCGTCTAATGACAGAGGTGCCAAAACAGCAAGAAATCTTTCCGAAAGATCACTTGGAAAGGCAGGTAAGAATTAGTTTAAGTGATTAGGCCTGAGGACCCAGGTCCTCAGTGGCAATCCCCACAGAGGAGAGAAGACGGGCTGTAGCATTACAGACGCAGTAGGTGTTCATGAGACCTGCAGACCTGCCCCTTCCTGGGCTCCCTGGCAAAGGAAGAAAGAAAGAACTTGGAAAAACCCCGGCAAAACTTGAATCTCGTAACTTGAGCCAACATGGTCTTCTCCTCCAAGGAGCAGAATGACACAATCACAAAAGAGACCATTTGGAGGCATGCCCCTTCTCCTGGCTTCGCTCACTCCGTTCTTTTTAACCACTGAAGCTGAAGGTGACCTTGGAGGTCCTCTCAATCCTGACATGCGGCAGTCCTGAGTGCTGGGGTCAAGATGAGGCGGGCCAAGTCCTCATTTTACAGATGAGAAAATTGAGGTTCACAAAGCTTCTGTGATTTACTTAAGGGCCCACACAAGTCACTGGGAGAGCTGGGACTGCCACTGAGGTCTTCATACGTCTGGTCACCCAACCAGACAAGATGAGACAATGAGACAACTATTTGTGTCACTAGAAGCTGTCCCCACAGCATCTAGAGGGTCCTCGAATGCCCCCCCTCCCCGCCCCGGGCCACCAACCTTAAATTCAGAATAGGGACCGAAAAGCAACATGAGCAACCACTTCCCAGGGCTGCCCTCATATTATCATCCTTTACAGAGTTGGGGGATCGTACCCACTTATTTTCCTACCAACTTCTCCCCAAGAATGACCTGGGATTGGGGCGCCTGGGTGGCGCAGTCGGTTAAGCGTCCGACTTCAGCCAGGTCACGATCTCGCGGTCCGGGAGTTCGAGCCCCGCGTCAGGCTCTGGGCTGATGGCTCAGAGCCTGGAGCCTGTTTCCGATTCTGTGTCTCCCTCTCTCTCTGCCCCTCCCCCGTTCATGCTCTGTCTCTCTCTGTTCCAAAAATAAATAAACGTTGAAAAAAAAAAAAATTAAAAAAAAAAAAAAAAGAAAAGAATGACCTGGGATTGATAAGCTCAGGTGACAGTGCAGGCATGAAGACTGTCTAGAGTTAGGTGACAGGAGAAAGTTTTTTTTTTCCCCCTAAGATAACTCCCGATTTGAAAGATAAACAACAAACATACACCAAGCTACGGAAGCCCTCCTAGCACTACACACGAAGGTGAACTTAGCCTGGGTATCAAAATGACTGGGCGTGGCGGTAGAGAAAGTGTCCCTGTGTGGTGAGCGGCAGACAGCCTAGACGCTGGTTCACTCCAGTGCGATGATACCAACGCAGAGGTCTGATGTCCCCAGGTCCCTGATATTCACAGAGCAGTAAACACCGCAGACAGCCAGAGAAAAGGGAACAATCACCTTTAACTTCTGGACACAACCAGTTGGAGACTGTCTGGCCTCTCCTTTCCTCCATTAGCACAGTGGCCATTAAGTCCAAAGCCTGCAGGGGTCAGCACATAAGGTCCATCACTGAAGGGGGTTAGGGGTAACTACAACAGGAGAGATGGGACAAATTTGGGGTCACATGCCCTAGAGAGAAGGGGTGACCACTGCTCAGTTCCAGGTGGAAAAGTAGGCCCTGTGCTGCCAGATCATCTGATTTTTCCAGATAAACCAGAAACCTAGACTATGGGAAATTTTACTGCTTTTAAATGAATGCTGAAAACAAAACAAAATAAAATCTTTTTTAATGTTTATTTATTTTTGAGAGAGACAGAGAGAGAGACTGTGAGAGCATGAGTGGGGGAGGGGCAGAGAGAGGGGGAGACACAGAATCTGAAGCAGGCTCCAGGCTCCGAGCTGTCAGCACAGAGCCCGACGCAGGGCTC